TGCTATCCACTGCTTGTTTTCTTCCATGACGTGCCAAGCCCAAGTATTACACCAAAAAACAAGGGGCCTTCAACCCTGGTTCAGGGTCTAGTTAGAAATGCAGGTCAAGCCCTTCAGATTGTGCTTTAGTAGCCTATAAATGCACAGCTCCTCTCAGCTGAAGCATCAGTTCAGTTATCCTTATTCAGGGTCATTTCTGATGCAAGTCAGGGTGCTTTAGTGCTATAGCACCATGTATCAGCTGTCTGCTTAAGTTTAATTGCACTTCACTGTTGCTCAGTGCCATAAACACTGTCCTCAGTCCTCTTCCAGCAGGCAATGGGGCAGTGCTGAGCAGCTGCTCATCTTGAGGCTCTTCCTGTAACTGCAAAAGCAGCCACAAGAGGCCAGAGGAAGGCTGTGCCTTGGGCTGCTATCTCCAGTCTCGTGAATGGGTTCAAGTGACAGGGACCCAATTCAGGAGCGTCTTTCCATTTCATAATCAAATAGCAGGGTGTGATGTTTTTAAACCCAGTTCCTCATTAGGCTGGACACTGTAACATGTGTTTTAACTCTTTGATAGGCATGTGGCAGCTAATGAATAGTCTTCAGAGGTCAATTCTTTCTCTGTGTTAACCATTAACTAAAATACTGTCTCAGTGACTACTCCCAACTCTTCCCCCCCAAAACTGGAGACTGGAACCAGGAACTAAGCTAAGAAGCAAGGTAAATAAATAAATAAAGCATAAAAATATATATTCTATTAAAATGTCCAAGGTGGTAGCCAAAAAATTAAAAACAGAGCCTCCTTTAGAAGTCTAGTGGATCATTGGTTTACTAACCAACAAAGCAACCCTATTTTTAATCAGGAGAACGTGTGTGTGTACAGTAGCACTGACCTGGAGTTCACATTTCTAAAAAATTTGGTTTCTGGCTAAGTTTTGTGGGTCACTGCTTTTAATAACCGGCAAACCAACGTTCTTCTTAGTCACTAGAGTCTACGACAGTGGTTCTTCAGCAAGGGTGCCTTGAGATCCTTTTCAGGGATATCACAGGGTGCCAAGAAATGCTAGTTAGGTGTGCAGATGTGATTCACAAGATAGCCCACAACAGGTCAAAACATTTTAAAAACACTCTGGCTTCCTATTTGAAATCTCTGGGTCTTTCTCAGTTCTTTGCAGCAGAAGAATTGTTCTAAATTGGTTTTTTGTATTAAAAAAATGAAAGCTGGCATTTTCTGAGGGGGGCCTTTGAGTCTAAAAGGGTTGAGAACCACTGGTCTAAAGAGTCTTATGCAAGTGGTGTTCTGATGTGCATTTTGGGTTCCTAACCAGTTTTTCTGCCTTTGAACCACCTCACATAAAAAGTCTAGTGTTAGCAAGAGGGAAAGCAACAACAGAAAACATAGGTTAGATAACAGTTTCTACTGCTTGAATGACTATAGGCTCACGTATAGCAGTCTGCACTGAAAATAGTTTTAAAATTCCCCTCTTGCCCAGTACTGGCTACAACTCTCCTCCCTCCCCACCCAGTTCTTAATTCAGGTCAAAGACAGTCATCTGTGATTAGAGGATGACAAATATTAATGTTGTCTCTGTGAACCTGTGGAGACACTTCCTATGACACCACAAGTGCTGCTACCGGGACTGTCAAACCACTTCACAGAGATTAAAGGCAGGTTCACAAGAAGTTGTTTTCAGTTCTGGATGCACACGCCTTTCTGATGTCTTGTAGCAAAGCCTGTGTGTTTTGGTACTAGCACCTGCTTCCCTTCAAAAGACGTGTTAAGCGATGAATGGATTGCAGTAGCTCCCCCTTCCTTAGATCAAACCCTCCTGAAAATAACAAGCCATCTACAATGGTGTAGATAGGACAGGAATCTGGGTCAAAAATTATAGCTCAGACCTGTTCTCTCTCCCCTTCACTGTGGCCTGGGCCATGCGACTCCATTCACCAGCATTTCTGCACAGAGGGAAAGCTGCCTACATGGCATCATATTTTAAAATTCCTCCAAAATGAAGGGACTAAACTGGACTGCCAAATTTTGTGAATACATGGACACAAACTAAAATTGGGCACCATTAAACCCTCAAGGCTGATTTGTGTGTGTGCATGTGTGTATGCACCATGAATATTCCCAATAGCCTTTTACTTTGGTTTTCTGGGGAAGTGGCTGAACAAAATCCAATTGAAAAACATTACAGCTACTGCATGGAAAAAAAAAAGAATAGCGGGTTAACTGAGGATAGCTCTTCCAATTAGCCATAAGCCCTTTTCAGTAGACACAGACACACACACATAGTCACCTCGAAAGGGCAAACTACATTTCCGATATAGTTACATAGCAGTTAGTAAAAATGTAAGTTTTCAATGCACGTCTTATGCCATAAGGAATCAGTGGCATAGCTGAACTGTATATATGCGTATTTAAATAAACCTGCATGTACATAGACACTAGAGAGTATAACTACTTACCTGCATTTGTTCTCTGAAGGTTACACTGTACTCATATCCATACACTTGGGTCACAGGACTCCAGCAATAGCATCAAGAGTCATCTTTATCTCTAGAAGACTCTAAAGTCCTTTTCACTGAAGTTTCAGGGTGTACAAGATGGCAATTGCAAGGACAACTTAAGGCTCTCACCATTTTTGTATAATAGACACCTTGGCTTTTCAGAACCAGAATATAGTGGGCCAGAGTGCCACATATATGTTAAGATGACACTAATTAGAGGCTGGTTATAGTTGCTGGTATGCCTCTAACAAAGGATTAGTGTGATCCAAACAGTTGCAATAATGTCTTGAAATAAGGAGGAATGCAGAAAACTAGCAGCATGGCTTTCTTACTTGACACAGACTGGTCTAACTGTACTTGATGGCTGATGGGAGGACCTGCCAGTTCCATAGTGAATAAGGCCTTTTAAATGAACAGAAGAATACTTGAAGGGAGGAGAACTCAAGGTACAAATTAGGCACTATCTTTGGAAGAGGTTTTTAACACTGCCATCCTCCCCCAGGCTGATTTTGTAAGCTTATATTGGATCAGGTCCTTTATAGGCCTGCAAGTCCCTCATTGAATAAATGCCTCCCACTACCAAAAATAAAATCCTTCCTCAGTAAGAGCTTCCACAAAATGAACCCCCCCCCCCCCCCCAAAAAAAAAATAGCTTGGCTTGGTTAGCTTAGTAAAAGGAGATAGGTTTGTTTATAACATGACACTGGAGGTAACATGAAGGAGGAGAGAACTATTCAAGACATAAAGGGACAATGTTGGCTCAGGAACAAGTTGAGATTAAACTGGCCATGAATAAGTTTCAGTTGGAAAGAAAAAGACTGCTCACTGTCAGAGCAGTGACATTCAGAACAGCTTTCTACTGGGAGCCAGCAAAGAAACTAACTACCTTTAAGAGGGGGTTTGACTGTTTAAGAAAGGAATCATAGGACATGAAGGCCTCTGGTGGCATGGGTCGGGTCTCTGCTATACTCTGATTAGGAAAAAATACAATCAAATATTAAAAACTGAAGCAGCTGTTTTAAAACTGTATCAGCCCAAGACAATGCAGGCAGAGGCATATTAAAAAGATACAAAATCAAGTAGACATCTAACATGCCAGAAAACTAAAAGCTACAGGCCCATCAGCCTGACCTCTATCCCGGGGAAGGTCTTAGAAAAGATTATCAAAGACCATTCTTAGACTGGCCGATGGCAACATCCTGAGGGACAGCCAGCACGGGTTTGTTGCAAGTAGGTCTCACTTGACCGATCTCATTTTCTTTTATGACCAGGTGACCTATCACCTGGATAAGGGAGAGGAGATTGATGTCGCATATCCTGACTTAAAAAAAAGCCTTTGGTCTGGTATCCTGTGATCACCTCTTGGCAAAACTGGCCAACTGCAGCCTCGGGTCCACCATGATCCGCTGGCTGGGAAACTGGCTCCGCAGTAGGACCCAGAGGGTGGTGGTTGATGGAAGTCAATCGTTGTGGTACGCTGTGACCAGTGGGGTCCCTCAAAGCTCTGTCCTTGGACCTATACTGTTCAACATCTTCATTAATGACGTGGACATTGGAATCAGAAGCAGACTGGCCAAGTCTGCCAAGGACACCAAACTTTGGGGTAAAGCATCCACACCTGAGGACAGAAGGGTGATCCAGGCTGACCTGGACAGGCTCAGCAAATGGGCAGATGAGAACCTGATGGTGTTTAACACTGAAAAATGCAAGGTTCTCCACCTTGGGAGGAAAAACCTGCAGCATCCTTATAGGCTCGGCAGTGCTACACTGGCTAGCACTACGGATGAAAGGGACTTGGGGTTCATGATTGACTACAAGATGAATACGAGCCTTCAGTGTGATAGTGCAGCTAGTAAAGTGAACAAAGTGCTGGCTTGCATCCATAGATGCTTCTCAAGCAAATCCCAGGACGCCATTCTCCTGTTGTACTCGGCCTTGGTGAGGCCGCAGCTGGAGTACTGCGTCCAGTTTTGGGCTCCACATTCAAAATGGATGTGGAGAAGCCTGAGAGAGTGCAGAGAAGAGCCACGCGCATGATCAGAGGTCAGGAAAACAGACCTTATGATGAGAGGCTGAGAGCCATGGGACTCTTCACCCTGGAAAAGCGCAGGCTCAGGGGTGATCTGATGGCTGCCTGTAAGTTTATATGGGGTGTCCGCCAGGATCTGGGGGAACGTTTGTTCACCAGAGCGCCCCAAGGGATGACAAGGTCTAATGGTTATAAATTCCTGCAAGATCGTTTCAGGCTGGACATAAGGAAGAATTTCTTTACTGTCCAAGCCCCCAAGGTCTGGAACAGCCTGCCATCGGAGGTGGTTCAAGCACCTACTCTGAACACCTTGAAGAGACATTTGGATGTTTATCTTGCTGGGATCTTATGACCCCAGCTGACTTCCTGCCCCTGGAGCAGGGGGCTGGACTCGATCTTCCAAGGTCCCTTCCAGCCCTAATGTCTATGAAATCTAAGAAGCTAGATGACAAAAAAAAGGCCTAGATTAAAAAAAAAAAATGCCTCCCCCCTCACCCCCTTCCCCACAGAACGCCAGCCAGGATGACTGAGGAAAGTGGCTTGGACAAATGTGACTAAGTTATTGTTGGGATCTAATTCAACTAGTTCTGTAACAGGCAAGTTTCCTATATGTAACCCTAGTTGCCTGTCTAATAGATTCCTCCTAGACCATAATGACTTGAAACATGAACGCACACACTTAATTTTTAAGGTATTTGTTCTCTGAAGAACAGTTTGTTCTCTGTGAACAATAAAAGGAATTCCAGGTCAGGATGGAAAAATTAAGTGCTAGCTCTCTGTAATTAAAGGGAGACTTGGAGACTCACAGGCTGTGCTACATTCCATCTTCAAGCATAGGAAAAAAAAATTACTGCAGCCGGTAGGGGACAAGCCACTGCAAACTCCATCTCCTGGGCCTTACAAAGTTTTGAACTCACTAGCTCCTAAGAGGCATAAAATAGCCAATTTCAATCCACCCCAAGAAGGGAAAGCTATTTCCAGCCCACTGATTCCTGTTCTGGAGCACAAGACCGCATATTGGTTCTCAGATACTGCTCCCTCCCTAAGGTGTGCACACGAACTGTACTAGGGACCCAAGAGCAGGAGACATACATAACAATTGCAACCTTTAGAGAACAAATACATTGCAGACGGATGAAGGTACAGATGTATTGTGCCATGATAGTCCATTTCTATGCAGTGAGCATGTTTATGCAATCAGAGTCCAAAATTCATTATGCCTGTATAGATGGCTGTGTGCATTTAAAAAAGTTGGTTCCATTATTTGTATACGAATATGAAATCTGAAAGAGTTTGTCCACTGGAAAGCAAACAAGAGCATCCTATTTCATGGGAGGGAGAGGCTCTCACGGACACCCTACTCTGCCCAGCTCCAAGCAGTATTCTAGGTTAGTGCAGAGCTGTCTGCAGCCTGAGAGCCCAGTTTTCTGGCATTCTCTCTCTGTTGTGCTGCACTAAAAGATCTCCTTTATGGCAGTGCCTTTGCCCCATGTCCTGCTACTGGGATTGGTATCAGGCCCATGGAGTTTAAATCTTCTCAAAGGTAAGAGCAGATCCTTCAGAGCAGGCAGTTTAAGTTCAATCTGTTTCTGAAAGAGAACACACAGGCATCAGAATACATTTCACATTACTGCAAATATTTGATAAGTCCCTGTGTAATACTAGGTGACCTGACACTAGATGGTTTTTCCTCGGAGCACCATGTGGATTTTGTTGAAGGGAAGGTAGGAACTTGCACATCCTGACAGCAGCAGCTGCCTCAGGCAAAACTTCCTTTAACTAAGTGAATCTCCTTCCATACCACCCTGGATCAAGAATCCAATGAGATGGTAGAGCAGGGGTGGGCAAAATACGGCCTGCAGGGCCCCTAAAAATTTAGAAAATTAATATTAATCTGCCCTGGGTTGCCCGTCATGCGGCCCTCGATGGCTTGCCAAAACTCAGTAAGCGGCCCTCTGCCCAAAATAATTGCCCGCCCCTGTGGTAGAGCAACCCTATCCAAGCCATCACAGCTGGAGGAGACTAAGCCAGTATGAGCTCTTCCAGCAGGAAGAGGAAGCAGCAGAGCAGCCCAGTTTCTAGTAGTGATACTGGTAGACTAACAGAGAGAGTGCCCCCTCTAACCATGCCCAGCAAAGGTGCGTAAGGAACCCGGTCATGGCCACTGGGATAGAGAAGGGCATGCAGAGGTACCACACGGGCTAAGAAACAGAAAGGAAGTTGAAGGGAAAGGCTGGCTTAGGCCTCTGACAAGTGAGCTAGTGGCAAACGTAGCAAGGAAAGCTACTCCTCCTACCCCTCTCCAGCAACATCACTCACAGGAGCCAGCAATTGCATGCTCCTTTCCTAGCAAGGATGAAGGAGCAGCTCCATCAAGCCCCAGGTAGCTGAGCTTAAGATCTTACTGCCCTGCTAAAAACAGAAGACCACAGTGAATGCATATGATCTTATAGCACTGGCAGCCACTGTGCCCAGCACTGCCACACACACTACCCTCTCATGGCCCTCCCAAAGACCCTGGTGCTAATACTGGGGGCCCACCCTGTTCCCATCTCCCTGGAGGGTTTCTCTCCTATCAGGTGCCTAACCACCTAGTACCTTCCTCGCCCTTCTCAAGACTCCCTGATCCACTTGACAGCACAGTAAACTTCGGTAGTACCTGCTTTCCTGTTATGTCTGTGCTACTGGTAAGCTTCTCAGTCAGATTGAGGACACTTGATTGGGAAATTAAGTGCTTACATTCTGGGAAAGGATCCTGATTTTAAAAAAAGGGGGTTGGGGATGTAACCCTTTAAAAGTCTCTTAAGCCTGGCAGAGGTGGATAGAGACAGCAGCCTGGCTTTACCTGGACATACCAGGGAGGCTTCATATCAGAAACTTAGTGGTGAAAGGATCAGCAGGAAGTTGCTTTAAGCAAATCACATCTGGGACATTACACACGAGGGTGAGGAGGGAGGCTGCATCATTCCCCATGCAGCAGGAACTCGGCCAGCAAGGAAACAGCCCCCAGCTGTACCACTGGAAAGAGTTCTCCCTCTCAAAGATGAACCCTGGTGCTGGGCTGGGGCAGAAGGTGTCCCAGCAGAGACCTGCTGAAAACCCAACCCTGCAGGATCTGAACACATGTTCGAACCCAACAGTGTTCCAAACACTACACCCTACATAAGGCCTTTGGTGCAGCAAAGGAAGTCAGGTTAGATATTAGGAAAAACCTCTCACTAGGAGGGTAAAGCACTGGAACAGGTTACCTAGAAAGGTTGTGGATTCTCCATCCTTGGAGATTTTTAAGACCCGGCTGGACAAAGCCCTGGCTGAGATTATCTAGTTGCAGATGGTCCTGCTGTGAGCAGGGGGCTGGACTAGATGTGATCTCCTGAGGCCCCCTCCACCCCTCATTTTCTATGATTAAGGTAATTTACAAATAGGGAGTGGGGGTGGGGGTGATAGCTACCTATCCAGGCTGGGAAGGGGTCTTTGTCCAGC